AGTAGTATGCACAAAGCAACCTAAATTATGTTGCAGTTTGATATGGATTGCTTATATCACAAGAATGCAGGAATCAACAGTAACTGGGAAGATCTCCCTCATTTGTTTCAGAAAGCAGATCTTTCCAAGAAACATGCAGAATAGCTTCCTTTATTCATGCTAGTTCTGAATTTCCTGCAAGTGATGGTCCTGGTAATATGCAAGAATTCTGCTGCGCTTATCAGGTTAACTCCCCCGAGTCAATAAAGCAACAGTAGAGTGGAGAAAAGTATCTGTCTCTCCACATAAAGCATATTGCTATAGCTGGAAAAAAAAACCTCAAAGCTCTGGGGTGTAGTATCCATTAGTCCTATTATCAGACATTAGAAAGTTGGGGAAACAGAACTTTTAGTGCTAACAAAAGCCTGCATCTCTTTCCCTCCCACCGTGCCCAGAAACAGCACTCTGGGGCTTTTGTTCTGTTTGATGCAGCAAAGGAGCAGATGCTATAGGAAAGCAGAAAGAGTAGGCTCAAAGAGCTTCAAATGTGCGATAGTAAAGCTGTTGAGAGCATTGCCTTAAAAAAGAGCATCTTCTGCTGTACACAAAGAAAGTATCACATTCACAAAAACACATGGCATGGTGTAAGCCAAAATTCTGCATCCTGAACTAGAAAATGGACAGTCAAACGCGTTCTGAAGAATACAGTTTCTAGGATTGGAAACTCAAGTCTCTACAACTCACATCCAATTGTGACAGCCCACATTCAAGGAGAGAGCTTTTTTCGGTGGCAACACCCCCATTTATCGAATTGCTCCCCAGCAAGACTTGATTGGTGCACACATTATCATCATTCAGCCAGCAGGTGAAAACCTATTTTCCCAGACGTCGTCTTTTCATTTGTATAATTTTAGGTGCAGAATGAGAGTTTCTTTGGCTTTGTGTGTTTGTGTGCACATGCGCCCCTAGGAGTCGGTCTTGACTCCCGATGACTGCCTGCTCAAGTAGCTGCAGTTTTCTTGGCAAGTTTTTTTTCAGAAGTGGTTTGCCATTGTCTGCTTCCCAAGGCTGAGGGAAACGGAGTAGTCCAAGGTCACCCAGCTGGCTTTGTGCCTAAGTTTAAGGCTAGTACTCACAGTCTCCCACTTCTAACCTGATGCCCCTTAATCACTACTCCAAACATTTTACTTGATTTTATTGTTTATGTTTTCATTCAGATTTTTAGTATGCTTTACTGTAAATAGCCCAGGGCCTTAGCTAGTAGGTGTTTTAAATTTAACAAAATAAAATCCAATCATCTCCACAAACATGCCATGCTTTACCATTATCTTACCTATGTATTCAATGGCTTCCATGAACCAGGAGCTGATGTCAGTTTTGTGATTATCTTCTACTGGAATGCACTTATATTGAAAGTGTCCTTCGAAGTGGTTGGGGCAGTCCGATGAAACATTCAATAAAGCCGTTATTCCCAAGGCCTCCAACATGTCCCTCCGAGCTGCATGATGAGCACTGCCAAGGAAAAGAAAAGGCAAGATTTCCACCGGGCCACCCTACACCAGAGGGAAGAAATGAAAAAGAGGGGACAACGTAAGAAACAAGAAAAACACAGAACCTCACGAACGAAAAACAACACACTGGACGGTGGTCAATATCTCGCCAATTCTTTCAAAAAAGGACATCACCTGAACTTCTGTAGGCTACTGTCAAGATGCACATGGAAGTGTTGTCTTCACTGGGAAATGTTCTTATCTTGCTAATCTGTTTTTTTTTTTTTTAACATTCCGTTATGACTTGCTGATTGCACCATTCATCTATTTCTATCTTCATTATTCCATAATTTAAAAAAATATTTTCTGTTTAGAGAATATTTAAATAGAAGATTAAATCTGAAGTTCTGTAATAAAGGATCTTGCCCACCCTGCTAGGAAAAGATGGAGTCAGAGTCCAGATGCTCTCTGGCAACTCAGAAAATGTTGCCCCAAACAGCCAACTGTGTTCACCCACTTCATGGCTTCTTTTCACTAACCTCAAGATACTAAATATTACTCCTATAACTAAATTATGCTTTAGCTATACAGGCTGCAACATGTTCTTTCCACACTTACGTTTCAGTCCAAAAATCAAAGACCGCCACAGCACAGTTGGTGAATGTTTGCAGTTAAATTACATTTATAGATTGCCAACCATGAACTACAGAAAGTTGTTCACAGTTCTGATATTACCCACCATTTTTAATATTCAACCACCACCCCCCGCCTCCTAAAACAAAACTGGGAAATCAGTAAGTTTATATTCTGCATATCGTAATTAAGATGATAGAAAAATGAGTGCCAGCAAAAATGCCACCTTAAATTTTATTTAGAAGTGCCAGCATGCCGAGTCACAGTGAACATGTAACTCCTAATCAGGTTTTTGGACAGGCAGTGCTGTGAAACATATACCCAAGGCTCCATATCAGTTGCTGACAGCAAAGGAAAAAAAATGCACATTTACTGCCTCTCTCCAAATAAACTTTTGTACCTGCTAGCAAATAACTTCGGAATGCACTTTATCACTTCCTTAATGACCGTACTGTCATTCTTTGTATGTAGCTCTGCACTGCAGGTTTGGTTCAGTGTGCTAAGATCAGAGCAAGCCAATAACAGTGGCCTGCTATACTAGCAGCTAGAAAGGGTCTCATCAATCATCAATGGATTCCTCCACTTGAAGTATTTCAGGATTGAGATCGGCAGAAGATTACAAAATGAGGGCAAGTCTGCTCTACTATTATCTCTGGATAACCTGGAACCTGACAACTCTGCTTCAGCCTCCATGCATTCCAAGGAATAAGCTGTTCTTATTGCCTAATTTCTGCTACATATGCAGTCACATGGCTTGAGAAGGAATTTCACTGCCTCTTTGTCCGTGCGCAAATTTGTACGTTCCTTGATTTTAAGAATATTAATCTCTTCTTGACAGACACATATGTGCAACAAGCTTAGTTGCAGACAGTTAAAGCTAAAATAATTTCATCCCAAAATATGTGGATTTGGGAGATGACTTACCTCCCTCTCCTGTCCCCTGAAAATGATCTGTCTCTCAATACATTCTCCTTTTTGGAAAGTACGCAAGTTTATGGCACCTGAACCTAAAATACTTGTGGGCTAGAATTTCTATTACTAGACAGAGAAAGGTCACCAAGTTCCAATTAAACACAAAGACCATTCACGCTAGAAATTACATAAGAAACCCTGTTAGTGAACCAGTGTTTGCTAGAATTGAAGCCACCTTAATCAAAGCAATCCTAGTCTTTGTTTTTGTTGATGCTATTGTAATTAAGATACTTTACTATGATTGACAGTACATCTGTATAAATATATTGACAACTTGAGGTAAATTAACATACATCTATTGTATGATTTTTGTACTGCAGGTTATTTTATCTCAGTTTCACAATTGAAATCAATCAGGGCTATCTACCTATGTGTTCTTCTTTTCAGCTCTTAACTTTATATAAATCTCTGAATCTAATTTGACAAGCCAAAAGATAGCTTGAAACACAAGAGTCTAGAAGAGGTTAATGAAAGAATATCACATACCCAAGTTTTACTTTTATTGATTCAATCTCTACGAGTTGCAGGACAAACTCTTATACAATACAGGTAGTCCTTGCTTAATGTCCAGTCATTTATCAACCATTCAAAGTTATGCCCCCCTCCAAGTTACAGCCCATTCTCAAAGTTAGGAGTATCACATACCCCCTGCAGTTGCATGATGTTCCATAGGGCAGGGGCCACAGCACATCTTAGGACATCTGCCTAGAACCCACCAGATATTACTGCTTAGTAGATGAGGCCAGTAGCTTACCCTTGCTGCTCAACCTAATGAAACAGACAGATGTAACTAGGAAGTGGTAGTTCCTCAAATAACTTAGTCCCAGGGCATGTAGGGCTTTAAAGGTCAAATCCAGCACCTTGGATTGCACCCAGATGCAAACTGGCAACCAGTTGAGCTCACGGAAGAGAGATGTAATTTATGCCACACAAAGGCAGACATAACTGTGCAGCCACATTCTGCACTAGCTAACGCTTCTAAATACTTTTTAATGGTATTACAGCGTATTACAGTAATTCATTCTAGAGATGACTATGGCATAAGTAAATGCAACTAGAGCCTCAGGGTGCAGGAAAGGTTGCATTTGGAACACAACAAGAAGTTATACAAAGGCCCTCCTAGCTATGACTGCCACCTGCTCCTCCAGCAGGAGTTGTGACTCTAGAAGGATCCCCAGATTGCACACCAGGTTCATTTGGGGAGAGCCAACAGTGCTTCCCAAAATAAACATCTTCTTTAGGAGGCCAAGACACAAAACATGGGTCCAACCAAGAACATCTATGCATGATATGCAGGTCCTGACCATTTTCTTTGTTAAGCTGAAAAGTGCGTGCAGAGATCTACAGATTTACATCACTATGCACCCATCTGGAGCACATCGGAATCTATCATTTCAAAAAGCTGAAGCGAAGAAAAGAAAAAGTGCAATAAAAACATTGCCCTAGATGGATTTGTCTCCCATTTTCAGCATGCATTCCAATTAATAACAAATTACCCAGAGATTTCTGGTCAACAATGCTGTGCAGGGGAAAAGAACTTTATGCTGTTTTTGACCACACAGCAAACAAGTTGCTTTGATTTCCCTCTAGTGCTTCACTATACTACTAAATTTGTACTGCCCAACATGAACAATGTCATGGTTACATTTTGGAGCAGATGGGAAAACCAAGAGTTACATCTCCACTTGACCATGGAACTCCTTGGATGGCTTGAGACCAATCTATATCTCAGGTCAATCTATCTCACAAGGTGAGTTTAAAAAAAAGAGGAGAAACCTCCACAATACTAGAGAAAAGTATAAAAACTTGTCCTTGTGGATCTGGAGAACCTGAAATTCCAGTCCGTGTGTTCCTTCAGTGTCCTTTCTATAACTACTTGTGCTCAACTCACATAACTCTACTTGCCAACAGAAGTGCCATCTGTTCTGAAAATGATTTGCTTTATATCACCAGGTCAAAACCTGAACATCTCCAGAAAGATTGCAATATTGGCTACGGCAAAATACTGTCTTGATTTTAGGATTTATAACTATAAAAAAACAATTTTTACCTTGGATGCTGTTCTGCATCATATATGACTCATTACCAAGCACAATTAAATTACACTCGAGAGGACAACCCCCGGGTATATCACCAGAGGGATGTGGAGGCCATCAATAAATAAAAGGAAGCTTTTTGCCTCAGAGAGCAGACAAGCTTTGAAGTGTAGAGAAGCCAACCTACCTGATCGTGCTGTGGTGTCCCACAGGAACTGCAGCTATGGTCCAGATGCTCCACAGGTGCCAAAGTAGAGGCTGCTGTAAGAGATTTTGTCTTTGTGCAGAATTCTGGATATTCTGACTGGAATCTTTCGTAACCACCTGAAAGTAAAAAAAAAGATGCTGAAAACACCCCTTTTCAAAGCTGTTCCAAGATGCTACGGATTTATTTCCAAGATGCTACAGATTTATTCAACTATTACCGATACACAGAATAGACACAGAGGCCGGCCCACCTCCAACATATGCACAACATGCATAAATGTGTATTCAGACTTACATACTAAATGCCCATTGCCACAGAATTTTGCTTAAAAGCAGAGGAAGAGACGATGCCACAGCACAGTGGCAATGATAGGACTCATTATAATAAAAGAGACGACAAAGTCAAGGATGTTCCAAAGTTTTTAATGACACTGTAAACCTGTTCATGAAGTTTTCTTGGCGATAGTATGAAATCTTCTTCTGGAACTTTGACTTCTCACAGCCTTGGAATTCCCTGATGATCTCCCATACCAATTAATCAAGCCTAATCAGGCCTGGCTTCCAAGACTGACTAAAACTAGACAGTTTTAGCAGAGGACTGGCAATGCACTCAGCACTTAGCACAGGTATCTTCAAAATATCTCCTTCAAGGTATGTTACTGCTACAGATCCCCATTTCCCCCGCCCATTTCCCATTTGTTACATTAGTGCCTTAGAGGAAAAACAAGCTGCTGCCTTGTTTCTCTGAAAATAAGACCTGGTCTTAATTTTTCCCCCTCCAAAAGAGGTACTAATTTTTGGGGCAGAAGGGGTGTCTTTTCCACTCACAACTGCATTGACAGCCCCGCCCAGTCGGCCCACTTCTTCTGGGGCCAAAGGAGCAGCTTCGTTCTGCAGCTGAGAATGGAGCTCGGGCCTGCATTTCATAGTCAGAGGCCTTTCCGGAAGGCCTCTGCAGCCAAGAACAGAGCTACGGATTCTCCACACAGGCACTGAAAGATATATTATGTCTGTGTAAATTGGGATCAGGTAGACCAGATCCCTTCCTCTTATGTATCACACCATTCTCCTGATGTCAAACTAGAAATTCAGCACTGCCATTCACTCAGTCAGCCAGAAACAGGCAAGAGCTCCGATATGTATTGCTGTCAGCTAACTTGGCATCAGTAAGTATACCGGTAGTTCTCGACTTATAACCACAATTAAGTCCAGAATTTTGGTCATAAGTCATTGTGATTGAAAGTAGAGTCACCGTGTCACTGGACTTGATTTTAGACCTGTTCTTATGATGGTCATTAAGTGAACCACCTTATCCAATGGGTGTTTTGGAGGGGGAAGGCAGCAAAAAACACAGCAAAATATGATCATGTGATGGCAGGATGCTCTAATCATTTGTAAATTTGAGCCAATTTCCTGCAATGCAATCACATGACTGTGCAGCAGTTGTAATTTCAAGGATAAATCATAAGTAACTTTATCATAATTTTGAATGATCATTAAGCAACCGTTTCTAAGTTGAGGACTACCTGAACTCTAAAAACACAGTGAAACTGAGTGTGTGATCATGAATGTTTGGTTACCAAGGGACCTTTCATGATTGTTGGAAGGTTACTAAGGAACCTACCATGACTTAGTTTACATCTTCAAACTTCATTTGAACTATGCCTATCATTTTGGTGTCTCTTTTTCACCACTCACTGCTTTCCCTCCCACCATATACATATAGCTGTAGCTAAGGATATTATTAATCATCCATCTGTCAATATTAAGCACTTGTGCCCCTGCCGCAAGCTTTCACTTATACATTGTTAGTTTCTAAGGTGTCAAAAGTTTTTGTTGTAGCTACCGTACAAATTAACATGATTATACTTCTGGAAAGTTTACAGCAAATTTGTTAACACAAAGTCCTCTTAGTGTAAAGTCCATTTGCTACTTCTGAAGGCACTCAATAGTGAAATGGGTAGCATATAAATTTAATAAATACTTTACAACCACCAAAATTTGGCAAACCAGTAGAACCCCCAATTTCTGGGTCAATTTTATTCATACAATTTTAAAGGCTGCCGGACTCCAGAAGGCAACAAAATAGTAGAACAGATTATGCACACCCTGAAGCAAAACTGCAATGGTACCTTGGTACTCATCATTAATTGGTTTCAGAAGACACAATGAGTACTAAAAATAATGAGTACCAAAAACATTTTCCCCATAAAGAATAATGTAGTGAGTCACAAGGCAGCTGACAAGAAGTTCTAGCTTGTGCATTGAGTACCGGACCAGAACAAAATTTTCATGTCAAAATGCGTTGAATACCAAAATAAGGAACCTACAGCAGCTCAACAGCCACCATTCTCAAGGCTTGGGAGAACACTCAAGTTTCATAGACCAACCTACATGGACTGCAAAATAACATCTGCCACATTAGGAGCTGGCCAGCAGTATCTCTTTCAGGGTGATGGTCAATTTATTATTTTCTTTAAAACCCTGTCAGGCTGCAAAAGCTGCTTAGCTAGCTGGCCACCTGTCAGGCAGGCTTGTCACAGACTTTCAGAACTACATCAGGATAGAAGGCATTCTGGATGAGTACAGTTCCAGAGGGCAGGTCCTGCAATAGAGAAGCCATGCGTCCTAGACTCTGATAGATTACTTTGTTTGATGAAGGAAACCTGGAGTGTCTTAACGTCTCCAGTCTCTGATGGCTTCTGCCCCTGGAGTGGGCAGAAACCATCAGAGAAGGGTGGTCCCTCAAATCACCAGGCCCTATGCCATGGATGGATTAATAGGTGATAGCCAGGACTTGTAATGCACTTGGAAGTCAACTGGCAACCAGTGCTATTTACAGAGCAGTGGTGCCATGTGGGCATGACATGGCATGCTATCACTGCTCACACCACTGAATTCTGGATCAGGCGTAGCTTTTGGATGGTATTCAAGGGCAGTCCAATACAGATTGCCTTGCAAGAGTCTGTTTTTGAGGTGGTTAGGGCATGATCATCTAAAGGCATCCTGAATTAGGAATGGGCACAACAGAAACACTAGATCAGTGATGGCGAACCTTTTAGAGACCAAGTGCCCAAAAACTGGCCCTGCCCCCGCTCCACCCCGCCTGCCCACAGGGCCACTAACCGCCTCCAGGACCCGCTGCAGATCTCCCAGGCAGCCCAGCAGCGCTATGGCGGTCACGCCCTCTGCAGCATCAACTGTGCACAATGGGGTGTGAGGGCAGAGTCTTGTCTATGCTGCCTGGCTGCCATGTCCTTGGCTGTGCTGCTCCGCGTGGGCCATGGTCAGGGGCGACTCTCCTTCAGGGGGTCTGCTGGAGGAGGGGGTCGCGGCGGGAGACAAGGCTGGGGCAACAGCACATGTGCCCACAGAGAGGGCTCCAAGTGCCACCTCTGGCACCCGTGCCATAGGTTCGCCACCACTGCACTAGATGAATCTATTTGAAAGCCTTCTTGGGTAAAGCTGCCTCCTGCTTCTAAAGTTCATGTGAATGTCAAATGGGAAAGTACTAATCCATCAGAACTAAAGATGGAAAGTCCGTTGAATTGAAGAACCCAAGTATCCACAAGTACTAGGTCTTGTTAGATTGAGTCCAAGTCTGTTCCTCCCTGTTCAGATCTGAACAACCTCCAGACACTGTCCTCCAGACAGGACATTGACCACATTACTTGGATGGCCCCGTATCAAGTCATGTTATTGGGTGTCATTTACCATGCTGGTCACATTGAATCCCCAAATGATGATCTCACCCAGAAGTATCATGCAAATGTTAAACACAAGTGGTTACTTTCAACCCGAGACATTCTGCAAATGACAGGCTGTGGTTATGGCCTCTCCCCCTCCATCAATACCCACTGCAACCAACAAATCAGGAAGAACCACCATAATACAGTCCCTATCATTCCCAGCTGGACCATGACTGATGCTACTGAAAGCTGCTGAGAAATCATGGAGCACAAGGATGGACACACAACCCTCATCTCAATTCTGCCAAATGTCATTAACAGGCACTCTCCAAATTGTGATTTTAATCTTCCCAGGAATAGCAAGTTCTACCGTTCATACACAAATGCAATGCTCTTCTCCACCACATTAATTTTTAGTATGAGTAATTTCACCTTATCCTACAGAAATGCTCACACTGAGGAGGCTTTTAAGTGCAAGGTCGTCATCCTTCTTCCTCCTCCATTATTTTATTTATTGATTAAACTCTTTCAACCGGTCTTCCATCCCAAGTATCTTAATGGATCGAGGTTTATTTGTACATAAGCCACAGGAGGAGATGTTATAATATAAGTGGCTAAAATGCACATAACAGTAGGACATTCTATGAAGCAGGCTGATCCAGTAAAAGATCTCTCATTCTCTTAGTCAGATCTGGATTACAGCAGGCAGTTCCCTCCCACCCCCAAACCTATTGGAGGAAGCTAGAAAAGTAACAGGAAAGACACCCCTCCCCAGTTCCGAAGCTTTTGTAAAGGTAAAGCTAAATGTAGCAATTCCACTTAAAATTTTCAAAGATTAAGCATTAGAAAATATTTTCTATCCACTTCCCTCAGGGTTTGTAGGAACAGTACTGCTGAACGAGATCTTTGAACAGCATTATTGCAAAAATGCACTATTCCCAGAGCAGTAAGCTAAAAAATAAATTGCATTTAATTGTTCAATAGAATAGACTCCCAATGTGAAAAAAATATATTGAATTTAGATAAATAAAAACAGGACTGTATACATTACAAGGCTACATGCAAAATAACACCTGTCCAGTAAGGTTCATATTCTGCACATGCCCAAACCAAACCAAGTTAGGTAAATTAATCAAATGTTCATAATTAATTCTAGCTTTGTTTAGCATGACTCCCAGGGGAAGCCAAGGCAATCATGAAGCAACACACTAAATTCTGAAGAGATATTTGATCCTCTAGTAGAAGACTGAGGGAAAGCAAGAGAATTGGCTGCACATTTTATGTATATTACAATTCCCTGTAAAATGGTTCCTAATTGGCCTGTTTGTTTTGTTTTGATATTTACTAGGGATACATAATTCTCTTTATTTTATGAAAATCTGCAAACCAACTTGGATGACTCTAGTCCAGGGGTAGGCAACCTTGGCTCTTTTATGACTCGTGGACTTCAACTCCCAGAATTCCTGAGCCAGCCATGCTCGCTCAGGAATTCTGGGAGTTGAAGTCCACGAGTCATAAAAGAGCCAAGGTTGCCTACCCCTGCTCTAGTAGTTGGCTGAGGTCTATGCCTATAAAGAGCCTAAGCAGAGTTCTCCACTTTCCAAGCCCCTCCCCAAGCAGCTCCAACTTTAGCAGTCATTTTTTTCAGCAAAACTGCATTGCAACATCAAGCATTTCCAGGAAAGAGAAGGACATGGGGCTTCTATAAGGGTTGGGAAGAAGAATTCCAACAATAGGAATTGGCTAATTAGATAACAAAATGTTACAACTTAAAAGCCCCAATCTTGCTAACCCAATTCATGATTTCACTGAAGTGAAATACAAATGAAGCCAAGATGCACAAAGAACTAATCAGCTGCCAAAGGAGTACAAATGCCTTTTGAAATTGATCGATGGTATTGGTTTATTTTGACTTTTTGTCTGCTTTAAACATGATTGTCTTAGCATTAAAAGAATTGTTCTGTGAATCATTATTTTAAAACAGCCTCCCCTTATATTAGAGATTATAACCATTTATCTCAAGACTCCAGTTTCATCGTCACCATTAGTTTCAGTAATTAGCAAATCTACTGATTAAAGTGTAGGGCTTTCTGTTCATCTATAACACAAGGTTTTGAAAATAATATATATATATATATATATATATATATATATATATATATATATATATATATATATATATATATGTGTGTGTGTGTGTGTGTGTGTGTGTGTGTGTGTGTGTATGTGTATGTGTATGTGTATGTGTATGTGTATGTGTATGTGTATGTATATGTATATGTATATGTATATGTATATATATATTTGATGGGGCCTATGACCACTGTCTTTCCAATGTCCCTTTAGAAGAAGGAAACCATAAAAAAATTCCTATTCTGAGCTGGAATATTTTGGCTAGGGCTATTTAAGGACACAGGGCTGGAGTGGGGATTATTTCACAGAAGCCCATAAGAACTTCCTTCCAGGAAACACAGATACAGTCCCTGGAGCCATGGCACTACAAAACGGTAGGGCTACTTTCTACCACTACCACCACCCTTATTCTCATGCATTCCTAAGGGGAGAGGCCATTTGGGGGGGAACAATAAAACAGGATCTCTCACCCTTTTCCCTTCCACCCACCCAAAGCTTTTGTAATTCAAAAGGTCACCAGCTGCCTTCATGCACACAACCAGCTAATAAGTCAAATGGGCAGGAAATACCCCTCCCTCCCAATACCGCCTGGTTTCCTTGGGCCACACCCAAGCAAGAAAGGGGAACTAGCTGAGGGGCAAAGATTATAAGGGAATCCATTATTAGTCAAAGCATGGCTTTTGCTAACTCCCCCCCCCTTCCCCAACACCTTGGATAACCCAATTCGGCCACTGAATGGTTTTTCTCACTCTGGGTCAATTTCCTAGCAGCTTTTCTCACATACAGTTGTATTAAAGGCCACATCCTGTTGACTGCTGGACTGTTTACTTTTTTTTTTTGAGGGCAATCTGATTGCCTGGAAAACTCTGAGTTGACAAACAGCGGGGACCCCAAGCCATTTTCTTCAGAAAAGTGATCAAATGCCTTTTAGAGAGAAAAAAACAACACGCTCCTTCTGGGGATTAGGAACACAGTTCACCTTCTTTTCAGGTTCTTTCTTGACCTCTTTGCCAAACCATGGGGCAGAGGGGGAAATCTGAGAAATTGGGGGAAGGAGAAGAGCTCAGGATTGGACAGGTTGAACCCTCTAAGTGAAATGAGTCTGCAGGAACCTGCCCGTGGTCCTTCCTTTTCGGTTGGCCCGGGGCTGAGAAATTCTCTCTAGGACAGTGTTTCTCAACCTTGACAATTTTAAGGCATGTGGACTTCAACTCCCAGAATTCCACAGCCAGCATTGCTGGCTGTGGAATTCTGGGAGTTGAAGTCCACATGCCTTAAAATTGTCAAGGTTGAGAAACACTGCTCTAGGAGCTGAAGAAGTTTCCAAACCGCCCTGACTACCGCCGCTTGTTTTCTAACAACAGGCGTCTCACTCTTGCCCCGACGCCCGAGTCAAGTGGCGGGCAGAGGGGCGCAAAGTCAAGCGAGGGAACAGCCGCGGGCCGCTGGCGTCATCGCCGGTCAAACCACGCCAGAGCGAGCTCTCCCCGTCCCCTCCCGCCAGACGGAAGTGAAGGAGGGCGTGAGAGGGGACTGACACGCGGCTCACACGTTGTGCCCTTCGAATGGGTGGGATTTAGACCTCCTCTCCCTTCATTCCGCCCCCGGCAGCACTCACTGGCGAGTCCCCACATCCTTTGCAAGCGAGGAGGAGAATGAACCGGGCGACTTAACAGGCCCGGAGGAGAGAGGGGAAATGGCCCGACTCGAAGACTGGTCTCCGTCCTCCTCCGGCATAGCGGCGACGGCGGGGTCCTTGCCAATCAGTCTGAATTATAAACCTCAAGGCTTTCAGAGTCCTGCGTATTCCAAATCGCGAGGTGTGTGTGTGTGTGTGTGTGTGTGTGAAGAGGTACATGCTCAGTGTCATCCTTCTCATGCTTGTAACTAATCGCGAGGGGTGTGTGTGTGTGTGTGTGTGTGTCAAGAGGTACATGCTCAGTGTCATTATCCTTCTCATGCTTGTAACTATGATTTAAACCCCGGGGGCCCCGCACATTCCAACCGGCCCCTTTAAACCCATAATCCGCTGAACGGTCTGGCTCAAACCAGCATACGGGAAGTGGGTCTTTTAAGAGCCAGAGTCCAAACGCCTGATATACTCCCCGGCTAAGTTCGTGCGCCCCTCTTCCCCCCCCCCTCCGCCTACCTTTCAGCAAGCAGATGTTCGTGTGCTCCGTGTCCTTGCGCAGCGTCCGCACCACCAACGACACGGTGCTATCCTCCCGCAGAGATTCGGCCCGCGGGCTCCGCTCGTCATACACAACTACGGCCGAGTAGAGCCCCGAAAGCAGGCGGGAGCGCACCTCGTCTTCCGCCGGGAGGATCTGCTCCAAGCTGATCGACCCTTTGGTCCGCCGTCGGACGATGGTGTTGCACCTCACGTTGAGCGCGCCGCGGATGTAGCCGGCGCTGTGAGCGAGGAAGGGCCTGCAGTCCAAGAGGAGACACTTCCCGCCAGCGGAAGGAGATGAGGAACTGCTAATGGTGGTGCCGCCGCCGGCTTGGTTGTAGCTCCCGCCGCTGTAGTCCCCCCGGTGCAGGAGGTGCCGAAGCACGCTGCAGTCCATCTCCCGCAGCTCCACCATGGCTGCCGGCTCTGCGCAGCCTTCTTCCTGCCCCAGGAACGGCTAGGCTAGGGCCTTAGCACATTTTGCCCCCGCTTCCGCGCCCGTATCAGCTCAGTCATTAATAACGGAGCTCCTGCTAGTAGTGGCAAGGCAGCCCGCACGCTCGCTCGAGTGCGGGGGAGGGCTCTTTTTACTACCTCGCTCCGCCCCCCACATCCTCTCCTCTCTCCTTTCCCCTCTCTCTCCGGCGCCGAGCCTCATTCTTGCTTCGCTCGCTGTGAATGGAACGCAACCGGGTCTGGCGACGTCACAATGGGCAAAAAAAAATAAAAAATGTAAACGACGCCTCGGCGCTTCTGTTCGCCTTCATTCATTAGAAAGCTACGGCAAGGCGGGGTTTATGGCCGCTCTCCCTTAGAGCAAACACTATTACTTTCGGCAGCCGCCGGCTTTAAGGGGAAAACGCGAAGGGTTGGGTCACCCAGGGTTGACCAGCATGCGTACAGCTACAGCATGCGAGGTTTGTGGCTAACCCGAGCCTCCCTCAACAGGCTTTTGACTAGTCCACGGGTAGGCAACCTTGGCTCTTTTGAGACTCGTGGACTTCAACTCCCAGAATTCCTGTGAGTTTAAAGTCCACGAGTCACAAAAGAGCCAAGGTTGCCTACCCCTGGACTAGGCATTGTGTATGCTGGAGTGAGTTGGTTTGCAGATTTTCATAAAATAAGAGAATTATGTATCCCTAGTAAATATCAAAACAAACAAACAGGCTAATTAGGAACCATTTTACAGGAAATTATAATATACATAAAACGTGCAGCCAATTCTCTTGCTTTCCCTCAGTCTTCTATTTTCAGCTGCCAAGTTTGGTGATTAATTGAACCTGAGATTCAGTAATCTGGTTTCTGCCAAAGAAAAAACCACTCTCAGGTGCAGGGATTTAGTTTACAATTACTAATTTAACTGATTTTCCCCGGTAGCCTTTCTCGATACCTTCATTTCATTTCAAATGCAGAAGCATTTGTGGAGTGGGCCTCTTGTGAATCACATAAGATTGAATCACATAATTCACATTCAGTACTGGGAGGAAAGGAAGGAGACTGGGGGGGGGAGTGACCTTGTCATCTTGAGCGGCTGTGATTTCCTGTTGTACTTCTGGTTTGTCATCTCTTTTTGTAGCAATATTTTATCATGGGTGTAACTATTATAAGGGCATCATCAAAATAGGAAATCTCTCTAATTAAAATCAGTGGGCCATCAAACATCTTAAGAGCTGAGCTAGATTTTCTCCCAGGTTGAGTTCAATAACCTAAAATTCTTCAGGCCTCTCTCCATGTTTTTTTTAACCTATTGTAATCTATTTATTTAATCTATTTTTAATCTATTGAAACTAATTTTATATATTTGTGTGGGAGGGGGGAGTCCAGGGCAATATTCTCTTCTCTTTCTCCCTAAGGCCCTGAATTCTAGAATAACAGCCTATCCAGCCATTTGATGGTCTCCTATTTCTACTCAAAAAGTGTTGAAGAAAACTAGAGGATCCCAGATCTTCCAAAACAGCATAGAAAGGTGTTATTTAGCTAAATCTTTGTAATGGCCAGCTTCAAGAATATAAGGATGCTTTCAACACCAGTTTCATAACATCTGTCAGATGCTCTCTCTCTCTCTCTCTCTCTCTCTCTCTCTCTCTGTGTGTGTGTGTGTGTGTGTGTGTGTGAGAGAGAGAGAGAGAGAGAGAGAACATGTGTGTGCCTTTCCTGAGGGTGTAACTTTAGCTCTGTTGAGGCAATTGAAAAGTTCATGTGGATGTGTAATAGTTGCATATTAGGAAGTCATGTGGATTGGCAAAGCAATATGTTACTCTCTCTCTTATACAACATAAATAGTAATTACCTTGGGGATTTGTATTGCCTTTTCAAAGTGAGGAGTTTCCATTCCACACCTAGTAATTATAATGTGTAAGGCGCTTTCAGCAGTCTCTCAGGGAAAGTAAGAAAGGTGTGTGTGGGAAAGGAGGTGAACTTTCCTCTCAAATTAAACATGAAGGTGAACTTATTTAAGTTGCCAATTTGAACTGGTTTTCCTTTTTTAATGGGTCTGGTTAACTCAATTATGAAAACACACAGTGATGGGATGTGCCTTCCCATTACACCTGGGTCATCCAGTGAACCCTAAGTGCCCTCGTTTTAAAGGGGGAATTAAGTGTGCATCTAATTGTCTCACTGAAGTAAAGATATATTCATGTTTCCTTGGTTAAATTATCTAAATTAGCTTAACCCTGATCTGGTGGTTTCCAAATATGTTGAACAACATAGACATTATAAATGATGAATGGAAACACCAAATTGAAGAAGATTGGTTTAGGAAGCCCCAGATTTCTTCTGTACAATATATGTCTTTATTTTTTTAAGCTTATTCTTGAATTTCAGTCTGCTGTTTTCTGCAACCATCTTCCAGAGACAATCCTTCATGCCTATGCAAGATCCAATAATGTGCATTTCAGCATGCACAATTTAAGTACACAGACGAGTGCCTTCCGCTTGATCCAGCTGGTTATGTATTAATGTTCCAGGTATAGTAAGATAGTTCTGCTCTTAATTCTACGCATATTGGGGTGAAAGTAAATCCAGTTGAACGAAATAAAGAGTTCAGTGTATGAAATCAAGTCTCTGAATCATGCCCATTGTCTAACATGTGAGATCAATTTGTCAACGTTCTTCCTAAAATGTGCTTTTCAGAATGGGATTCAGTATTCTAGGTGTTGTCTGAGCAATGCAAAATGTAAGGAAAGGATGATTTGTCTTGATCTTTTGTTTATGTAGGCTCGGATTGCATTTGGTTTTTTGCAGCAGCATCACATTATTGGCTCATGTTCAAAAAGGATCCACCAGGTCCTTTTTTTTGCACTTGTTTTATTTCTGTCCCTGCCCAAGAAGGGTACCACCACACATTATTTTTATCAGACAACCAGAAAAAAATATATTCTAGCAGGTATCAATTCAGTGGTACTCCGAGGCTCATAGACTTGAGAGCAGATCCTATTCTGAACTCAAAAGCTCACGATCCTCTGAATTACAGCCATAATCCATGCAGTCTGACCTGCTTTCATTTCTGGGCTGGCCAAGTGTTTGGACCTTGCCCTTTGCATATCTCTCAGCTCCCAGCAATAGAGTCCCATCTTTTTGAAAATCAAATGTTAATAATCTCAGAGGGTATTCTGAGACTTGTACCCACATGAGTTTGAGTCCCAGTATTGAAACAGGATGTCCCACCAAGGAAGTAAAAAGCTGTTTTACTAAGTCATGGGAACCATGGTTTCAGCTTGACATTTTTTAAAATGTAAGGATATATTCAATGCTTATTAACAAAGGAATCCTTAAAGGATTTGGAAGTTATCACAGCATCCTAATCACATTAACAGAAGTCCCTAATACTTGAACATTGGGAAAGGTGACTTTCTTTGTAGCAGAAAGTAGTGCTGTAATTATTACAATAATTAATATTATTTTGGAATAGTAAAAAGAATAACAGCAGCAGTAACAGCAAAGATTTCAAAGCTTCTTTTTTTTTTAAAGGCCAGGCAGGAGGAATATTTGGAGTGTTTGAATAGATAAACTATTTTAAAAGTCTTTATTTCAATAATAAAAATATTAGAATGAATAGTTTCCTGGGCAATTTCCTTTTCCAATAGACTGACTCCACTATGCCATCACCTTGTGACATTGTCCTTGTGCTGGTTTATCCAAAGGCTGTTTTTTGGGGACTGTCAGGAACCTTGCTTTGAGCAGTTCGTGCTGTCTCAAGCCAAATAAATAGCTAACCAACCATGACTGATCTAAACAAGCTTAGCAGATTTGAGCCTGTTTGTGCTTGGATGAGAATCCAGGACTGTAGGCTAGGCTAAATAGCTGAAAAATCCTTACGGTTGCCAAGAAAACAATATGAAGTCCAATAAAGTCACCAAAAATTGGCTTCATTTGAAAGGGACGTTGCAAATCAAGCAACGAAATCAAACACAGGGAAATGTAAATAGTCAAGAAGCCCAGAAAAAAAGGCAGCCCATTTTTCCTCTCAACACTTGTCCAGGTAGGTGATAACTCTGTGGAGAGAAGAGAGGGAGTCTATGAGTCCATTCCCAATGAGGCATTCTGTAGATTTTGTCTCCGATTGACTGTCTACAGCAGGGGTCTTCAAACTTGGCCCTTTTATGACTCGTGGACTTCAATTCCCAGAATTCCTCAGCCAGCGTGCCTGGCTGAGGAATTCTGGGAGTTGAAGTCCACGAGTCATAAAAGGGCCAAGTTTGAAGACCCCTGGTCTACAGAACCACAGGTTTAAAGCAGGGCTGGGAGGGAAAACTACTGCAAATTCATTGTCAGTTGCAACAGAACCATGGCATGATTAGAATTAAGGAACACTTAGCATTTAGAGACATCAAAGTTTCAGGTTCTGGTGGATCTTTGCAAATGATCAGCTTTGATTGTGAAGAACAGATCCATCTGTATGGATGAGGCTGAACTAAAGCTGCTACTCCTCTCCATTCTTGAAGCTCGTAATAAGACTGTCCTTTTTATCTTGGTTTCTAATCATGATGATCTATAGAAACCCCAGTTGATTAAATAGGTCTGCTTTTTTTTTTAATCTGCCTGTTATTTAAGATGCCAGTTTAGTAGCTGCTGCCTGTCCAAGATGCAAGTATTTCCTAAGTGTTTCCTAATAGAGTTGGAGATATTGCTATAATTTCTTGGGTAATCTGGAGCTTGGGTGATCAAGAAGAGAAGGCATAAAGCATTAGCCCATAAGGATGATGACTTGCTGAATACTAAAGGAGCAAATCAGGACATCTCTTTCCCTTGCCAAACTATATCTCATCAACCCTTAACAAGATTTGTGAGTTCTCACCTATAATCTTGCCAGTCTTAGGATAGTTCAAATGAGAATGACAAAATCTTGCATGATTTCACAATCTGCTAAGACTCAGGCCAGCTTCATTTTTTTTCTCAAACGACACTGCCTAA